TCTAGGTCTGCAAGTGTTTATCAGGAAGGAAGAAAGGGCCCACATAAACAACTTAACTTCGAAGTTTATGATCTGAGAAAATGACCAACAAAAGGAGCCCAAACCGGGCAGGGGGAAGGAAATGATAGAACTTAGAGCAGAAATTCATGAGCTGGAATCCCCAAAAAAACAATCCAAAAGATCAACGAAACCAAGAGCTGGTTCTTGGGAAAAATGAGTAAGACTGATAAACCACTAGCAAGACTCACAAACAAACAGCGAGAGAACACTAACAAGCTTAATAAAAAAGGAAGGAGGGGGTCATCGGAACAGAAACCACAGTAATTCGAAAGATCACCAGAGATTACTTTGAGAGTCTGCGTGCCACGAAACAAGAGAACCTAGAAGAAATGGATAAACTCCTGAACTCCTATAACCTTTCAAGACTGAATGAACCCAGAAGATCTGGAATATCCAAATAGACCTATCACTAGCGAGAAAATTTAAGTGGTAATCAAAAGTCTCCCCAAAAACAAAAGCCCGGGCCCAGATGGGTTGGTCCACCCTTGAGTTCTTCCAGGCCCTACTACCCTACTGCCGATCTTATTCAAACTTTTCCAGGTAATTAAAGAAACAGAGACACTCCCAAATACTTTCTATGCAGACAATATCACCCCGCTACCAAAAGCAGAGACACCGCAAAAAAAAAAGAGAATTGCAGGCCGATATTCCTGATGGACACAGATGCAAAAATCCCTAGTGAAATACAGCAAACAGAATCTACGGACTCTTCAAAAAGATCATACACCACAACCAAATAGGATTCATCCCAGCAATGCAAGGATGGTTTAACATTCGCAAGTCAGCCAACATAATACACTATATTAATAAAAGAGAAAGGAAAAACCACGTGATCATATTAATAGATGCAGAGGAACATTTGACAAGATCCAGAGCCCATTCATGATAAAAACTCTCAACAAAATGGGGGTCGAGCCCCAGCGCCATCTTACAGCACACAGCAACAAAGAAGAAAACCGGCTGGAGGGCCCCACAGCTCCCGGAGAATGCCCTGGCTCCCAACCAGAGCCGATATCGCCAGGAGGTCCCAGATGGGGTAGGTGCTGCATCCTGCCTTCTCCAGATGGAAACCCGGTGACCATGAGCCTCTACAAGCAGAGCTCTAGCATGCGGGTACCAGGACATTTTTTCCAAACCATGTGGCCACTCACAGCCACGCGACATCTCCTTATATACAAAGTGATCAATGGAAAGTAAATCCAACATTTCTCCCTGAAAATCAGGCTTAACTCTTTTGCAAACCAGAACACCCAAAAGGAGAGAGAGAACAGAGGGGAATGCCCTGCCACAGAGGCAGGGTGGGATGGGGAGGTGGGGGGTTGGGAGGGATACTGGGACCCGTGGTGGTGGAAAGTGGGCACTGGTGGAGGGATGGGCATTCGAAATAAGTAAAGGTAAAGGTAAAGGCCCTCCCGTTGATCGTCGATTTGCTCGAGCGAGCCCAGTAACGTCTCCATTGGAGACTTTGTTGTTACTGTGTCTGGCATATCGAATACTCTCGGTAGCTTGCCGGGCTCTCCGAGAGGGGCGGAGAAATCGAACTCGGGTTGGCCATGTTGGCCGCTTGTAAGGCGAACGCCCTACCCGCTGTGCTATCGCTCCAGCCCAAAAGGTAAAGGCCCTCCCGTTGATCGTCGATTTGCTCGAGCGGGCCCAGTAACGTCTCCATTGGAGACTTTGTTGTTACTGTGTCTGGCATATCGAACACTCTCGGTAGCTTGCCGGGCTCTCCGAGAGGGGCGGAGGAAGCGAACTCGGCTCGGCCATGTTGGCTGCATGCAAGGCGAACGCCCTATGCCTGGGCAGGGCGAAGCCAGAGGAAACTCTGGTGGAGGTCCGTAGCAGTCCTGACGTGCAAATCGGTCGTCCAACCTGGGTATAGGGGCGAAAGACTAATCGAACCATCTAGTAGCTGGTTCCCTCCGAAGTTTCCCTCAGGATAGCTGGCGCTCTCGCACAACCACCCACGCAGTTTTATCCAGCAAAGCGAATGATTTGGGGCCGAAACGATCGAAATAAATAAATAAATTTAAAAAATGGGAGTCCGAGGACTGTTCCTCAAGACAGCCAAAGCCACCTACCACAAGCCCACAGCAAGCATTGTTCTCAATGGGGAAAAGCTAAAAGCTTCCCTCTGAGATCGGGCACAAGACAAGGATGCCCACTTCTGCCACTTCTATTCAATACAGGACTGGAAGCACTTGCCATGGCAGTTAGGCAAGAAAAAGATATCAAGGGCATCCAGATAGGAAGGAAGAAATCAAGCCCTCATTATTTGTAGATGGCATGATACTATACTTAGAGAACCCTAAAGCCTCCACCAAACAAACTCCCAGAAACAATCCTTGGCTTCCCTATCTGCAGATAATAAAAGAGAAAAAAGCGATATAAAAAAAAAAATTCCGTTCACAACGGTGCCACAGAAAATCGAGCACTTTGAAATAACCTTAACTAAGCAGGCAGAGGACCTGTACAGAGAATACTTCAAAGCTCTACTCCAAGAAATAAAAGAGGGCACAAGGAAATGGAGACACGTCCCGGGGACTGGGAGAATGAACAAACACTGACAAAACAGCAACACTCCCCAAAGCACTACACAGATTCAATGTGCTCCCTATAAGGATACCCGTGACATTTTTCAAAGAAAGACAGATCAATTCTGAAATTCGTATGGAATAAAAAATCCCCACCAACAGTCAAAGCAATCCTTGGGAAAAAGAAGATGGGAGGTCTCGCCTTCCCCAGCTTCAAACTGTACTACAAAGCAGCAGGAATTAAAACAGCATGGTACTGGGCTCGAGACAGACCCGCAGACTAGTGGGACAGAGTTGAATATCCTGGCACAGGCCCTCGAGTACATGAGAATTGCATCTTTGATCAAGGAACAAGAAACCTGAAGTGGAGCCAGGAAAGCCTCTTCAACAAGTGGTGCTGGGAAAACTGGGCAGATACATGTGTCAGACCTCTAATGCCAGGCATAAAAGTCCGATCAAGATGAATCAACGATCTGAACATCAGACCCGAGTCCGTAAGGTCCATGGAAGAAAACGTGGCAAAACCCTCCAGGAGATTGAAGCTAATGGCATCAATATCAAACACCACTGACCACGCAAGTGGGAGCAAAGACAAAAAAATGGGCCTACACGCAACCAGGAAGCTTCTGCACATCAAAGGAAATGGTGTCTAAGATACAAAGACAGCCCAGAGAACGGGAAATATTCACCCAAAACCCATCTGATAAAGGGTTAGTATCAAAGTTATATAAGACACGGGTGGAACTTTACAGGAAAGAAAAAAAAAATTCAAACCCATCAAGAAATAGGGGGAGGAAATGAACAAAAACTTCCTCAAAGAAGAAATACTAATGGCCAAAAGGCACCTGAAGAAGCGTTCTACTCCACTGATCAAGAGGGAGATGCAAATCAAAAACAACAATGAGACGTCACTGGCCCACATCCAAAAGAACAAGAGCAGCCCGTGCTGGCACCGATGCGTGGAGAAAGGGACTCTCCTTCCCTGCTGGTGGGAATGCCGACTGCTCCAGCCTTTTTGGAAAACAACGTGAACATTCCTCAAAAAAAATCTAGAAATTGAGCTTCCACGTGACCCAGCAATACCAGTTCCGGGACTACACCCTGGGGGGTCCAAAACACACAGCAGAAACACCATCTGCACTCCCGTGTTCACTGCAGCACCGTTCACAATAGCCAGAATCTGGAAACAACCCGAGTGCCCAAAAAAGAGATGACTGGATAAAGGAACTGTGGTACATCTACACGGTGGAATACTACACAGCCGTTAGGGAAAAATGAAGTCATGACATGTGCTTATAAACGGATCTAGGAAAAATGAAGTCATGAAATTTGCTTACAAATGGATCGACACGGAGAGTATCGTGAGGAGTGAAATGAGTCCCGAGAGGGGTAGATACGGAATAGGCTGCACTCATTTGTAGGATATAAAAAGATACATATCGGATGAGACTGATATCCCAGGCCGGGAAAAACGGGGGCCGGGAACACGAGCCAATGGCTGGAAGCTTGCCACAAGAGAGTCTGGGGGGTGGGGGAGGCACGAGGCAGTTAGGACAGAGAAGGGACCAGTATGACAATAACGGACTGAACCATCTTCGCACAGCGAACTGAGTGTTGAAAGGAGGGAAAGGGATATATATACGATAACCTTTTCGGTATCCATATTGCAAACCATAATGCCCAAAGGAGGAGGTGGAGGGAGGGAGGAAGGAAGGGAGGGAGGGAAGGAGGGAAAAATGACACAGTTCACCTTCAGAATCAGAGCCCTGGGTTTCCGTTCCGGGCCCACCTACTCAGCAGCTGCCCACCCCTACTAGGGAGCCCGAGCAGCTCGGCAGGCAAAGCACCGGCCTGGCACGCGGAGGCTCGACCTGACGCCACCCGAGCACAGTCCCAGGACCCACAGCACAAGCAGCCCCGGCACCACAGGGTGTGACCCAGAGGGATGGGCTCAGGCCCACCCTGTCACCCACTAACCTGACGCAGCGTGGGGTGCAGAGACAGACGGAGGCTGAGGCTCTTGCCTTGCAGACAGCCAGCACCCACTCGATCCCGGCATCCCAGGGTCGGGCAGCCCCCCAGGAGCGGTCCTCCCCGTGCAGAGCCGGAGTGAGAGCCCTGAGTGCAGCCGAGCGGGGCCACGTCCACAGAGCCGGACTCACTCGAGAGCACGACCCTGCGCCTCTGCAGGGTGGGCGCCCAGAAAGCGGGGAGGATGCCACCACAGGCACCCGGGGCCCAGAGTGATGCTCACGGGGGAGGATGTCGCAGGCACCCGGGGCCCAGACGCCCAGGCAGGAGGTGGAGGCAGAGGCGCTGGGGTGCTCTGCAGCCTTCCCGGGGCTCCTGCCCAGGGCCTGCAGGGGTGCATCGCGGGGGTGGGGTCCCCAGGCCCCTCTCCCTCACCTGTTTTCTCGGTGACGTCGGAGTCGGGGGTCCCGGGCCGGCTCCCCTCGTCGTTCTCCTCCTCAGCGCTGAGGGAAATGGGCGAGGAGGGGCCGGGCGGGGCGGCCGGGGGCGCGGCCTCGGGGGACCCCTCGAGCTTGCTCCGTTTCTCGAAGCGGAAGCGGTCCAGGTTGAAGAGGCTCATGCTGGCGACGGGGCACGGGCACCTGCGGGCGGGCGGGCGGGCGGGCAGGTGGGCGGGCGTTAGAACTTACCTGCAGGGCCGGGGCACACGCAGGCACACCTGCACACGCACGCAGACACGCACTTGCACGCACACACACCTGCACGCAAGCACACCTGCACGCAGGCACATGCAGGCACGCACCTGCACACGCACCTGCATGCAGGCACACGCAAGCACAACTGCACAGACACCTGCACGGAGGCACGTGAACACTCACCTGCACGCAGGCACACGCACACACACCTGCACGCACACACCTGCACGCAGGCACACGCACACACATGCATGCGCACACACCTGCACGCAGGCATACACCTGTATGGAGGCCCATGAAGACACACCTGCATGCAGCTACACGCACACATGCAGGCGCGCACCTGTACGCACACCTGCACGCACACCTGCACGGAGGCTCGCATACACACCCCTGCGCACACACCTGCACACACACCTGTATGCAGCTACACACACATGCAGGCACGCACCTGCAGGGAGGCCCATGCACACACACCTGCACGCAGGTACACGCACACACCTACACGTGCACACACACACACCTGCGCACACACCTGTATGGAAGCCCACGAAGACACACCTGCGCGCAGGTACGCGCACACACTCCCGCACGGAGCCACGGGCACGCGCACACATGCCCCCAGGCCCACGGATGCACACACACACGCACACGCGTGCCCGCCTCCACGGGCACCGACAAGCCCCCACAGCCACGCGCACAGGGCCGGGCACACCCACACGCCCCCCGCGCGCACACCCCCGGCAGCCCCACGGGCGGACGCGCCTGCACACGCGCACACGCACACGCACACACACGCACACACCCGCGCGCGCACGCACCCACGCGCGGGCGCGGGTCGGCGCGGCGGGGCGTGGCGGGGCGCGGGGGGCGGGGCGGGGCGGGGGCGGGGGGCGGGGGCGGGGCGGGGCGGGGGGCGCGGGGCCCGCGCGGCCCGGCCCGACTCACCTCGCGGCCGAGCCAGGCCCGCGGCAGCCGGGAGGGAGCGCGACGGCGGCCGGGCAGGGACGCGCCGCGCGGCGCGCAGGGATGACGCGGAAGGCGCGCGCCGTGATGACGCGGGCGGCGCGCGCGCAGAGCGGCCGGGCCGCGCGGTTGCCGGGGCGACGGGCCGCGCGCGCGCCGGGTCGGGGCGGAAGCTCGGGGCGGAAGCTCGGCGCGGGCGCGCGCGGCCGCCATGGCGGGTTCCCGGGCCCCGCGGGCGCGCGCGCCGCCGCCTTTGTTCTCCCGCCGCCTTTGTTCTCCCGCCGCGCGAGGCGGGGTCGGGCCGGGCCGGGGGCAGCGGGCGGGGGGCGAGGCGGGAGGGCTTTGTCCGCGCGCGGGACGGGCAGGGACCCCCCGGGCATCACCAGGAAGGGACCCCCGAGCACCACCGGGAGGGACCCCCTGGTATCACCGGGAGGGACCCCCTGAGCATCACCGGGAGGGACCCCCTGAGCATCACCAGGAGGGACCCCCTGAGCATCACCAGGAAGGGACCCTTGGGCACCACCAGGAGGGACCCCCTGAGCATCACCAGGAAAGGACCCCTGGGCACCACCAGGAGGGACCCCCTGAGCATCACCAGGAAAGGACCCCCGAGCACCACCAGGAGGGACCCCCTGGTATCACCGGGAGGGACCCCCTGAGCATCACCAGGAGGGACCCCCTGAGCATCACCAGGAAGGGACCCTTGGGCACCACCAGGAGGGACCCCCTGAGCATCACCAGGAAAGGACCCCCAGCCATCACCAGGAGGGATCCCTTGAGCATCACCAGGAGGGATCCCTTGAGCATCACCGGAAGGGACCCTTGGGCACCACCAGGAGGGACCCCCTGAGCATCAACCAGGAAGGACCCCCCCCCCCCGCATCACCAGGAGTGACCCCAGAGCATCACCAGGAGGGACCCCCGGGCATCACCAGGAAGGACCCCCTGAGCATCACCAGGAAAGGACCCCCGGCCACCACCAGGAGGGACCCCCTGAGCATCACCAGGAAAGGACCCCCGGGCACCACCAGGAGGGACCCCCTGAGCATCACCAGGAAAGGACCCCCGGGCATCACCAGGAGGGACCCCCTGAGCATCACCAGGAAAGGACCCCCCGGGCACCACCAGGAGGGACCCCCTGGTATCACCGGGAGGGACCCCCTGAGCATCACCAGGAGGGACCCCTGAGCATCACCAGGAAGGGACCCTTGGGCACCACCAGGAGGGACCCCCTGAGCATCACCAGGAAAGGACCCCCGAGCACCACCAGGAGGGACCCCCTGGTATCACCGGGAGGGACCCCCTGAGCATCACCAGGAGGGACCCCCTGAGCATCACCAGGAGGGACCCCCTGGTATCACCGGGAGGGACCCCCTGAGCATCACCAGGAGGGACCCCCTGAGCATCACCAGGAAGGGACCCTTGGGCACCACCAGGAGGGACCCCCTGAGCATCACCAGGAAGGGACCCTTGGGCACCACCAGGAGGGACCCCCTGAGCATCACCAGGAAAGGACCCCCGGGCACCACCAGGAGGGACCCCCTGAGCATCACCAGGAAAGGACCCCCGGGCACCACCAGGAGGGACCCCCTGAGCATCACCAGGAAAGGACCCCCGGGCACCACCAGGAGGGACCCCCTGGTATCACCGGGAGTAACCCCTGAGTATTAGGAGGCATCACCAGGAGGGACCATCACCAGGAGGGACCCCCTGAGCATCACCAGGAGGGACCCCCTGAGCATCATCGGGAGTAACCCCTGAGTATTAGGAGGGACTCCAAGGCATCACCAGGAGGGACCATCACCGGGAGGGACCCCCGAGCATCACCTGGAGTGGTCCAAAGCCCCAGGCAGGAAGGGATGTGCTGGAGGGAACGTCCTTCCATCACCTGGACCCGGCCCAAGTGTGGGAGAGCAGACGACCGCCTGAAGGGACTATGGCAGACAGACACGATGGAACAGGAAAGGTGAAGTCTGGCTTGCTGCTACTCGGTGGGTCTGGCAAGTACCCCGCCCTGCTCCCCGGGAGTCCCTCTGGGGTTTGATGAGAGCTGGCCCGAGCACCTGCACGATGCAGACGCCTCACCAGCTGGAGGCCACCAGGCCGTGCTCGGTGGGGGTGGCAGGAGAGGGTGCCTGCCCCTCGCTGCCATGCTGCTGGACTCCGCACCAGGTTGTTTCACTGGGGGCGCCCCAGAGGGGGGCGGGTGAGAGCCCTCCCCACCCCAAGGGACACAGCCCGGCAGCCGGCCTCCACTACCCAACCGCCACCATGCTCAAGGCCACTGCCCACACGCTCGGCTGAGCCTCACACAGGAGTGAACATATTGCTGGACCACGCCCACACAACACATCCTAAGACACTCCCTACCCATTCTTCATAACTGGCACACCATATTTGATGGGGTTCAGGCAGTAGGCAACAAATCATAGAGGGAAATATATATGTATATAAGCATATATACCTATTTTCAGATACATATACCAAAGCTCACATCACCCAAACTCTAACAACATGTTGGTGATGCCCAATAGAATGTCTTAATGGCTCCTGCCAAAATAGAACCATCTTCACACTGTTTCCTATATTAGAACACATTTCTGTATTTCACATTTATTGAAATAGCACAGACGGTAGGGTGTCTGCCTTGCACACAGCCGCTGACCCGGGTTCGATTCCCAGCATCCCATATGGTCCCCCGAGCACCGCCAGGAGTAATTCCTGAGTGCATGAGCCAGGAGTAACCCCTGTGCAATGCCGGGTGTGACCCAAAAAGAAAAAAAAAAATAAAAGAACACTTTTCTGTAAGCATGTTCAGCAGTCCTTCATAACAGACAATACAGAATATATTCTTTCTTTCGGTTGTGTTTTGGGACAGGGATCGGGGCCTGGGATGGAAACATCCGGAATTTGGTGGTGGGAAGGTGTGGTGGTGGTGGTGGTTGGATGGGTGTTTGAATATTAAATGTAGTCAAATATTGTGAAGTAACTTACAAAATTAAAACATTTTTTTGAAAGTCAAAAGTTTTTAAGTAGGGGCCTGAAGTGATAGCACAGTGGGTAGGGTGTTTGCTTTGCACGCAGACAACCCGGGTTCGATTCCCAGCATCCCACATGGTCCCCTGAGTACTGCCAGGAGTAATTCCTGAGTGCAGAGCCAGGAGTAACCCCTGAGCATCGCCAGGTGTGACCCAAAAAAGCAAAAAAAAAAAAAAAAAGTTTTTAAGTATGGGCTCAGCCTGTGTTTGAGGTGGGCGGCTGGGGTCGGCCGGGGAGGACAGTGTCCCCGCCCGGAGAGCTTGTCTGCTTCTGTTTGTTTTTTAACTCAGCTCTTTGTTTCCTCAGGGCTCTTTTCACCCCCACTGCTGGCCATCCCTTCAGTGTCTATGTCAGTCTCACTTGTCGACTGTCACCCGCTGTGGTTCGCGTGGCAGGGAAGGGTGGAGCAGAATCCGCCAACTACCTGGCGAGGACGCGTCTCTTGAAAGAAAGGGCGTGTTCTGCATTGGGACCCACCCTTACAGCCGCTTCTGCTCAGGTTTTTTGAGAGGCGAGGACCTTTTCCCCGTTGTGCTTGGGGCCACAGCCGGCTTAGTGCTCAGGCATCACGCCCAGCAGTGCTCAGGGGTCACGCAGCCCTGGGGCTCCCGTGGGCAAAGCCCTCTAAGCCTTTCCCCACCTCACCGCCCTGCTTTTCTTCCCTCCAACCAAAGGAGTTGTGTCTAGGGACAGAGAGACGGTACCACCCGTAAAGCACTAGCCTTGATGAAGCTGACTCCTTCGGCCCCCAGTACCACGGGTGGGCCCCTGAGTACCACCAGGAGTGACCCCCGCGGAGACACTCGGGGTCAGCCCTGAGCATGGCCGTATAGTAAAGTGGGAGGCGACAAGAGTAACACGCAAAAGTTCATGACTTTATTTACATGCAACTAATGAAATGGAGCAAAGCTGTTTT